TGGATTTTGAAAATAGTACTCGAATTTTCTATAAAAAACAAAATATTTTAAAATTTCAGTGGCTCTTGTACCTTATAGTGATAATGAAAGTGACAACCCAATAGAAGATGAAATGATCATAGGCAAAAGAGGTTATAAAGTGAATAGATTAAAACGAATTGTTGGAAACTTATCAAAAAGAGACACTTCCGTTCAACCTAACCCTTGCATAAATAAAATATGTGGGAATGAATGCGGCCAAAAACTTTCAGAGTTAGAGCGACAACACATAAATGAATTTTACTGGGGAATGGATTCCAAATCAAGGCAAACAAATTGGCTAGCTTCATGCGTAACACGAAATAATATACGTAGACGAAGATCGGACAGCAATAAAAAAGTATAGTTATACCTACATGATAAACTTCAAAAATATTTATTTTAAAGTTAGCCAACAATTTTTGCTTAAAACTCTACACATTTCCCAAACTCGTTTAGTGTCAGCTCGAAATCAGTCAAATGTAACAAATATACAGACAGATAAGAAAAAATCTACTGCACCCCATACTAAATCAGATCCATCAAAGGTGAACATTTTGAAGAATTTTATTGAACAACTTCCCGCCGTTCCTTCGCATTACTGCAGAAATAAAAGCAAAAAATTTACCTCCCTCAAGAATTTCGTAACATAAAAGGTTTATACGATGTTTATAAACAACATTTGAAAAATAAGGACCAAGAATCTGATATTCTCTCCTTAAGAGTTTTTCGTCACATTTTTAAAAACTGTTTTCATATTGGATTTCATTTACCAAAGAAAGATAAGTGTGCGTTATGTGAAAAATACAATAACCTTGATCGCGAACAGCAATTGCTTTTAAACCAAACGGATTAATATCAAAATCACATTAGAGACAAAAATCATTCCAAAGAAATATTTTTAAAAGAACAAAAAGACAAGTCATTACTTTGCGCCAGCTTTGATCTGCAAAAAGTTTTAAACACACCTCATGGAAAAAATATAAAATTATTCTATTCAAGGAAATACGCATACTATAACGAAAGTATTTACGAAAACGGCACTAGCAATGGTTATTGTTTTTTATGGGGAGAAACTGATGGAAAACGGGGATGTAATGAAATATGTACTATAATATTTCAGTATTTAAAAATTATTGATGAAAGGAAGACACACACAACAATAAGCCTCCATTGTGACAGTTGTGCTGGCCAGAACCGCAATCGAAGTATGCTTGCCACTATTTTTTATTTTCTTAAGGAATCAACCTTTGTAACAAATATTAAAATAACTTATTTATTGCCCGGGCATACAATGATGCCCGTGGATTCAATACATAGCACTATTGAATCATTCGTTCGTAACAGAACAGTTTGGGCCCCGAGTGAATGGTATACCTTAATAGCTAATTCAAGAACAAATCCCAATGGTTACAAATGTATTGCGATGAGCCATACTGATTTTAAGAATTGGAAACAGTATTCAGAAAATATATTCCCAAATTCCTGTAAATTATCTATACAACGGTTGAGATGTGCAATATTTCAAAAAGATAATCTTGTCATTACCCTAAAGTATGGATATTTTGAAAACTCAGAGACAAAAAATATTGATACGAATAGACGACATACAAGAAGGAATTTGTCACCAAGCTCTTGCCCCCAATCACTATATGAACACCCACTTCCGATTTCAAGAATGAAATACAACGATTTAACAGATCTTTGCAATAAGAACATTATTCCCCCAAAATTCCATAGTGAATATATAAATTTAAATAACAACAATTCAACGATGGATACACTTCCAGAAGCATATGAAGAAGATTAACCTTCAATCGTCGAATTAACTATTTCATGAAATACAAAAATATTTTATTTTTATTCATCTGAACTTTGATTTAAAATTTGCCTATTAATTTTATAAATGTTCAAGAAAAATAAAATAAACCACATGAATTACCTAAAAACTTGTACTTTTATGCTGAGATCAATTAATGTAACCGGCACTATAAGGAGTAACCGTTCGGTTTTATGACAGCGAAAAAGATGTAACCGACAAAAACTACCGTTATATTGCAAAAACAATTTTTTTATTTTATGTTATAAATACGACACCGTATAAAGACTATGTATAATTTCATTCAAAAATTTTGGATATATAAAAAGTTATACAATAAAAACCGTCTGCTGTAAAATTTTGTTTTTGTCGCTTACAACATTTTCGCGGGAAGGGCTCGATATGGTTTCGGTCGTAGTCATCATGTTTCCCAATTTGTTGTTAAATTTCTTGGCCTATCCTTATACCCTACATAACTATGTTGTCAGGGTATTATAGCTTTGTGCAGCCCTAAGAGTTTGTAACCTCCAGAGGCTCCAGGATTGGGTCAAAGAATAAGCATGCCTGTTTTGATAAAGATCGGCAAATATTTAGCGTGTCAAATGGACCCAGACTTTTGTGTGAAAAATGACAAAATTTGTATTCTATAGCATATATATTTACTTCAGAAGAACATAGACCCGAGAAGTTGATATTATATCCGAGAGGAGTGGTTGACCTTTAAATCTTATACCAATTATATTGTGGTATGTACTCGGATGTGGGAGTTACACTTAAATATTTACAGGTGCTTACGTATTCAGGGGGGTTACTCTGTATTGCGATGCGTGAGAAAAATTTTAACGCATCGCGAAATTGGTACTCTCCTTTCGCATCTAGTTTACGCAAATGTGGCATCACCGCACTCTATAATACGAAAACGCATGTCAAACCGTTCGTTAAGCGCAAATATCTTGCGTTAACAAAATAGCAAACGCAAAGGAAGCGAAACATATAAGTAAGCTCAATTAATTTTTTTATTTTTATATAAATTGTAAATTATTTTAAGTAAAAGGCAAAAAAGTCACAGTTGCAGACTCAGCAACGTCAGTTCCTAACTTAAGTAGATTTTATGGGGCAACACAGTGATTTGGCAAAGGGACAGTTGCAGAGTTCAAATGCGAAACAACGCGCCAACAATTTGTGGACAAAACTGTCTGATGACCTCAATTCAAATTGACCTCCTGTAAAAGATGTCGGTGGTTGGAAAAAGTAATGTATTATATTTTTTATATATAAATGTGAAACTATGTGTGCATATTTACAGGTTGGTGTTGATAACCACCTTGTCCAAGCAATTTCAAAGCAGCGGCCTCTTTTATTGGGATTGGAATTGTTGTGGATCTATTTGGAAAGACGAGCGTTTAATAAATACATAAACGAATCTTTATTGAGACGAACATTTTGTATAAATCTATAAAAATTAAATATTTGAAAATGTTTGTCACATAATTCGTACTTCTATTTTAATACCCGTGGTCACTTAGGGAGAGTATATTTGATCGATCTCATAAATTTCTGTTTTTGTTTTTAATTCGTTCATCATTTTTGTTTAAAAAAACACTCGTACCACACAAAAAAATGTTTTCATTTAAAATTTTTTGACGTTTCCTTTTGTCATTCTTCGTTACTGTCTACTTTGTGGCGACAGTGTTGCCCTATTTTTGATTTAGTTTGCGAATGCGTTTGCGTGAGCGTTACAGAGTACCAAATTGTACTCTTAACGCATTTAGCTTTCGCATCGCACTTGCTTTCGCAACGCAATACAGAGTAACCCCCCAGATATTATTTAGTAACCCATTACCACATTAGAGGTCGGAAATATAACGCTGATCGCTTTGAAATTTTCCATGAGGATCCAGGTATGATCAAGGATAATGCCTATAATTTTCGGTGATGATTATGTTATAATATTGCGGTGAAGTGAACCGAAAACTGTTATTTTAGTTGTTTGCATTAAATTTCATTTTGTAGAGTTTTTTTTACTGTTATGTATTTTTAATTTATTTAGTTTATTCTTTGTTTGGATTTTTTTATATAAGTTAATATAAGTTATTGGCCACCGGGTTTTAACAAAGACCAAAACCGAGCTAGGAGGTTCTTCCACTATTATATGCTCTCAGATTTTTGTGGATTTTCAAGTTGAAAAATGTGTCATAGTGTAATTATGAATTAGTATTTGTCAAATTAATTGGGGGTCATTAAAAGATCCCAAGTATAAGCAGGGTTAAAAATGTAGAGAACTTTGAAATGAAGTTTCTAATATCTCTTATCCAAAAAAGTATATACAAGACACTCTTGCCATTTTGAGAGGAACTCATTTTATTGTTGTTGTTGTGTCGAAATAATGCCAATTTTGAGAGGAATACATCTGTATTTTATTTTATTGAAATATATCATTCGTGTGTCTTTGTGTGTATTATTTAAAATGCTTTTATTTTGAGATCAATAAAGAGACGTACAGGGTGGTACAATTTTACATTACAAATATTAATGTGGGTATGTGTTTGTTTTTATTCGTGAAACAAATGTATGCAGTATGTATCGCTCTGCCCCAGTTATTATAACATTATTTAATATTGTGTGTGCATAGATATTTTTAAATGAAAAAAACCCTTTTTATTTAATTTAATTTTTTATGTACATACACGTTTTTTTAGGAGATAAATCGGGTCCTTAAATGTATAGATAGTAGTGGCTACCAGTTGACTATCATCTTAATATATATATATATATATTTTTTTTTTTTTTGGTTACAAGAGAAACAGTGTTGTATTTTTGTGTGTAATATTACAAAGAGATCAACTTAAGTTTTTATTATTAATAATTGTGTCTTTTCTTTTTGTATGAGAAACTTACATTATTAAAAAATAGTTTTTTTTTAATTTTTTTTCAGTGTACATTTAGTTTTAAATAACATTACTTATGATAGATAATTGTTGTGAGAGTATGGTTTGTTTTTGTTGTTTAGCATATGGTCCATTTAGACTAGAATTCCAGGTTGTGAAGCTACGCACATCTCAGATAAATGATTTTTTTTTAAAAAAAAGTTTACAATCCAATTATCCATTCCATGAGAGATGTAGGGTAGGGTTGTTGAAGAAGAGGTGGCTGGGGATGTAATTTAACGTCTCTTGCCGAAACGCAAGAAAACATGATCAACATCGGTACGTTTGCCCAAATTGTTGGTATAATCTTCAGAGTTGGTAACCAAAGCTGTGTGGAGAAGATATTTAAACTAAAATCTATATTTTTTTATTGAAAATATATAACTTACTTGCAGCCTCATTATTGATATAGGTCTTCAGAGCAGTTGTCAATTGATCGGAATTTTCCAAGGCCATGCACACCTTGCGAATATGTGGTGGCATACCTTCAATGATACCGGGCTGGCACAAAGGTGCCACAGTCGAGGCATAACAGCTCACCAAAACGCTGGAGAAGACAAGGCTGCAGACAATGATGGCAACAATTTGGTTCGACATTTTTGTTTTGGCTAAAATGAGCGAGAGGGAGAGAGAGAGAGGAAGAATTAAATATTATGTAATTAAAACAAGAGAAATATTTCAATATTCAATTTATTTCGAGCCAGTACTTTTGTATTTTTTTATTAAGGACTTTTCATACCCTACACAACTATGTTGTCAGGATATTATAGCTTTGTGCAGCCCCAAGAGTTTGTAACGCCGCGAAATATTGGTCCTAGGCCCACCTTTAAGTATACCGATCGTCATATCTCGACTAGCTGAGTCGATCTAGACATGTGTGTCCGTCCGTCCGTCCGTCTGTCCATTATATTTTGGAAACACGATACAGGCCACAGTTATGGACTAATCTTCACGAAATTTTGCATGGAGGATAGGTTCGGCCTAATGAAGACCCCTATTGTTTTTGGTAAAGATCGGATAATATTTAGACGATAAAATGGACCAAATACTTAATTTTTTTTTTGGTTTTTCTGGTCGCTCCAGAGGCCGCAATTATGGCCCAAACATCTCAAATTTTTACATGGAGAAGGCGATTGGGCCAAAGAATAAGCATACCTGTTTTGTAAAAGATCGATCAATATTTAGCGGGTCAAATAGACCCTGACTTCTGTGTAAAAAATGACAAAATTTGTATTCAATGGCGTATATATTTACTCCGGAAGGACATAGAGCCGAGAAGTTGATAGTATATCCAAGAGGAGTGGTTGGCCTTTAAATTGATACCAATTATATTGTGGTATGTACTCGGATGTGGGAGTTACACGTAAATATTTACAGGTGCTTATGTATTCAATTTTCGGTGATGATCACATAACAATTCGGGATGAAGTGGACCAAAAACTTTTTTGTTTGTTTTTTTTTTCGAGGCGATCTATAGACCACAATTATAAACCGAACATCACAATACCACCCACGGTGAAGGGAATCTGGACAAGTAATTAGAGGGGCGGCTGTACTGAATATTAGTAATATTCGGAAAATATGTCATTGTAAGCAAGAGGTGCTGTTGAACTCTAATCGGACAAGAGGGTGCAAATATCAATAAATATTGCCAAGGCTCGGAATAAAGACCCGCAGAAAGTTGGAGTTACGTGGTAGTTGTGTGGGGTATCGTATGGTCGGCCCCGTCCGATTATACTGCTCCGCTAACTGGTTAATATTTATTTTTTCCCCCATTTATAATTTTTGACCTTTAAATTTTGTAATTTATCAGTAATTTGTCATCACCAACTTTATTTCTATTCAGTTACTGGGTCAACATACAAAAGTATTCAATTGCATTGGGGTATTATATTAAAAGAAGGATATCAAATGTTGCTATGGTATGCAAAGATATAACAACAACAATAAAAATCCTGCAAATCCAATTGCATCCATGTAGCTTAGATATTAAAATGCATAAATCATTTTTCATTCACTGTTTTTTTTTGTTACGCTACGCTGGCCCAATAGGGAATTGAAATAAATGAAAAGTGAGCGTGATAACCGAGTGGAGGAATTTAAAATGAAATCAATGGTAGTAAAGGGAGCATAAAATCTATTTTTCTCTCTTTAATTTAATTGCAAAAAATAGGATTTTATATGTGGGAAAAATACATGTCCCCAAAAATACCTGTCCCCATTATGGTTACGCTTTTGAGCGGTTTTTTATGCCAAGATATGTAGTAAATGGGGAGAGAAGTAAAGGTCTTCATTTAAAGATATAATAAAAAATATTAAAAACATAAAATTATTAATTTTTTCAAACTATTGAAGAGGAGTTTAATGGGTCGATTACGGATGGCAACCAGAGTTTAGTTGCGTTGCCAGTTGCCAAATTTGCATTATGGATAGCAACTGTTGTCAACTTCAGTTGCTTCAAATAGAATTTTTCGGCAACCATTTATTTCTGGTTGCTGTTTATAATAACTGAACTTTGTAGGCCTCCCATAATGGTTAATATTACTACAAAAGAACAATTTGAGGTCTATATTGCCCGGATGGAAGCTCACCCAAATGTAGCACGCGGCGTGCGGACTTTTGGTCAAACCAAAGCCACTATCGATGATGTGTTGAAGGCCATTTCAGAAGACCTTAACTGCTATGGCATTCCAAAAGAGTGGCTGAAAGTGGTGAACATCTTCTTTTGGGTCCATGATATGTACGTGTGTATCATCAATACATCCGACAACACCCTGGAACTTAGTTTTCGAATAAAAAATTTTATTCTTCCATTTTTCCTCCTCCGTTAATTAGATACAATCAAAATTTTACAGAGTTTTTCCTCTATTATCCGGATAACTTCGGCGAAAACCACCGACATTGTCGGTTGAGCCATGCCAAGGTTGAAGTCATTGCTATGGGACTTTTGAAAACTTCCCTCCTCAAAAAAACATCAGAGCTGCACACATTTTTAAGAGAGGAGGAATTGCTGTTGACCGCCAGGCTTTTCGGAAATCAGGGTTTAAGGCTTCATCTAAGTACACAACGGCATCTTTTGGTAGTCGAAAATACGCCTTCAAGCTAAAATGAGCAGTTGATTGAACGTCAGCATCTACTCACTGAACTGATAATAGTTCTAATAGATTTATCTCTTAAATGCCTTCTAATTATAATTTTCATAATCAAAAAATAGTTCCACTGAGCTTATCATCATATATAATTAGCTTTTCTGATATATTTTATTCATTTTTTTTTTTTTTTGTTTACAATATTTCTAGTTGTAGAAATGTCAAAACAGTATTATCGACAGCAACTGAGAAAAGTTGCTATTCATAATGTTAAGTTTTATTTCAATTGCGTTGCCAGTTGAACTCGCAACTGGAGTTTGGTTGCTTTCCATAATCGACCCATAAACGATTTTTCTAATACCGCTCATGTGGCGTATGATACACATCGTTATTCATACGTCACCATAAACATTAGCAGAACTATTAAAACATTTAGGCGTATGATAAATGGTTAGCATTCATACGCCACCATGAACCACTAAATTTATAAAGAATATAACCATTATTTTCCGATAAATTTATTTTCCAAATTTAGAAAAAAAGGGAAATAATACCTGTCCCCATTATGGTTACGCTTTTGAGCGGGTTTTTTATGGCAAGAGATGTGGTAAATGGGGAGAGAAGTAAAGGACTTAATCTAAAGATATAATAATAAAATTTAAAAACATAAAATTATTCATTTTTTCAAACTATTGAAGGGGATTTCAAATGATTTTTCTAATATGGCTCCTGTGGCGTATGATAGACATCGTTATTCATACGTCACCATAAACATTAGCAGAACTATTAAAACATTTAGGCGTATGATAAATGGTTAGCATTCATACGCCACCATGAACCACTAAATGTATAAAGAATCTAACCATTATTTTCCGATAAATTTATTTTCCAAATTTAGAAAAAAAGGGAAATAATACCTGTCCCCATTATGGTTACGCTTTTGAGCGGGTTTTTTTTATGGCAAGAGATGTAGTAAATGGGGAGAGAAGTAAAGGTCTTCATTTAAAGATATAATAAAAAACATTAAAAACATAAAATTATTAATTTTTTCAAACTATTGAAGGGGAGTTCAAACGATTTTTCTAATACCGCTCATGTGGCGTATGATACACATCGTTATTCATACGTCACCATAAACATTAGCAAAACTATGAAAGTATTTAGACGTATGATGAATGGGTAGCATTCATACGCCACCATGAACCACTAAATGTATAAAGAATCTAACCATTTATTTCCGTTAATTTTATTTTCCAAATTTAGAAAAAATGGGAAAAATACCTGTCCCCATTATGGCTACGCTTTTGAGCGATTTTTTTATCCCAGGAGATGTGGTAAATGGGGGAGAGAAGTAAGTGACTCAATTTAAAGATCTAATAAAACAATTTAAAAACATAAAATTATAAAATTGTTCAAACTATTCAAGGGATTTTAAATGATTTTTTGTAATAAGGCTCTTGGGGCGTATGATACACATCGTTATTCATACGTCACCATAAACATTAGCAAAACTGTCAAAGTATTTAGGCGTATGATAAATGGGTAGCATTCATACGCCACCATGGACCACTAAATTTATAAAGAATCTAAGCATTAATTTCCGTTAAATTTATTATCCAAATTTAGAAAAAAAACAAATAATTCTAATTTGTGTGGGTGGTAACCTATTGTTGAAATCGAGAGACCATAACTTTTAAAATAATCGGTAAATTTTTAAAGTACTGGTTAGAATTGAAACGGGGTCGACAGCTTAAACAAATCAATGCGTAATCGCACTATGGAACTGGCTAAAATATATAGAGATTTAGACAAAATTTTACAAATATGAAAATTTTTCGAATTGTTGGTATTTTTTCCACTAACAAATTTCTAGGGGTCATAACTTCAAAAGTAATCGGAATATTTGAAATAAATAACTTGATTTGGAAAGAAGAATCTCCGAAGCTTTAAACGTGTATAAATTATATTTATGTTGCTAAAGAAATAATGGAATTAAAGGCAAAATTACGGAAATCTACAATTTTTAAATTTGTAATAATTTTTCGGTAATCATCTTCTAGTGACCATAACTTTTGTAGTAATCGGTATATTTTGAAGAAATAACTTAATTTGAAAAGAAGAATACTCGGAGCTTAAAACGTGTATAAATAATATTCATGTTGCTGATAAACTTCAGGAATTAATGGCAAATTTACAGAAATCTAAAATATTTAAATTTGTCATACTTTTTTGTAATCATGTTATAGTGATCATAACATTTGAAGTAATCGGTATATTTGGAAGTGAAGCTTCTAGTTGGAAAGTGGAACATCTCCTTAATAAAATCGATGTGGATTTTCTACATGTAACTGGTTTCCCTATTAGAGATATCACCAATTTCACGAAAATATCAAAAATTCCGATATTTCGTATTTTTTGGGAATTTTTTTCTAGACGCCTTAAATTCTAAAGTAATTGGTATATTTTGATGAAATAACTTGATTTGGGAAGAAGAATACGTGATCTTAAAAATGTAGTTG